CAACCGATTTGAATTGTCACATATTTGAATCGATTTTCAACCGGCTCGCGGTTAATCGTTACATCCCTAACATTGTGTAGTGAATAAATGACAATGAGCAAACTCACAAATGCAAGAAAGTTTAGTATGATGCTTGACCTTTGACCATTTTACAGGGTGTTATGTAACTTGCCTGCTATTAAATGTCATTTACATGACATGAATTAATATGAAATATGTCTGAAATGCATGACAGTCTCTTCTGATCACTTTTGAAGTTTACACTATACTGTTTGGGGTTGGTAAGATTTTTTAAAAATGTTTTTGAAAGACTCTTGTGTTTACCAAGGTTGCATTTTTTAATCAAAATTAAAAACAGTAATTTTGAAATATATTACAATTTAAACTGATGGGTTTATATATATATATATATATATATATACAGTGGGTACGGAAAGTATTTGAAGGGGGTCTGAATACTTTCCGTACCCACTGTATATATATATATATATAGTAAAGCTACAGTATGTGATAATAGTTTGACTTGCTATATTTCATCAGCATCATCCTCTCAGTGTCACCTATTACATTTTATCATTGAGTCTGACTCCTCTGGCCTAAATACACTGACCCACATGTTTGTGTATATAAGCTTGAGCACTACAGAATGTCAGAAAATGTTAGAATAGTTGCTTGTAAGCTGGTTTGTTACGACAGGAAGCCCTAGTGGCACAATATTAAATTAAAAAGAGATTTTTAAGTCACATGATGACTCATCGAATAAACTGTTATGTCATTATGTCTCACAAGACCAGTGCGTGGTTTTCAGTGGGTTGTGTGATTGATAAACTAGTGATTGTGTTTTATTTTATTTCATTTTATGTATGTATTTATTTATTTCTTGAACAAGGCACTGAGAGCAATCATTTTGTTTGGCTCATTAAGACATTTATTTTGTATTGATCAATGTCTGGAACTTCACAAAACAATGAGAACAAGACTGTAACTTTTCAGTTATTTCATTTATTTACTTTGAAGTTTTGAGTGGCATGAAATATAGAAACCAAAACAATCTAATTATTCTTTTACATAGATGATGTGTTTTCTGTGTTATTTTTAATTAAACCTTTGTTAAATGTTTTCATGCTGAATCACACGGCTAAAACCATGCTGTGTCCTAAGGCCACCTACTAGCAGCTCAGAAAACATAATGTAGAGCTTTAATCAAATGAGGTGAGCCAGCAGTGCTTTCAGCTTTAACTTTAGTGACATCTTTACAGCAGCAGTTCTAGAAATTCTACTGATATTACAAAACAACTGTGTGTTACACATACTGACTAACACGTAATTTAAGGTTACATGTATTTGTATTATGATATAGTTAAATAATCTCTTAATTAATTATAAAATAGCTTAATTCCTGCCATGAAGGTTCTTTTCTTCATTGTTGTGACAATATTAAAAACATGTTGTCACTAATTTCATTGACAAAATTATCGTTCCATACTGACATGATTTTAATTCTGTGCAACATAAGATATTTTGAAGAATGTTCTTGTTGCTTTATTGTTTACTAATAAAAAAGCCTACATGTTATAGATCTTATAGTGAATGATTCATCTATGTATGTTATACTGTATATATATCCTGTAAGAAAAACAGACTTCTTTCTGATGAATTCTTTTTTTTTGATAATCTTATTACATTTGTACGTACTTCACAATACGGAAGATTAACTTGATTGCTACTTTGATTCGATTGCGACTTTTTATGTGTATAAAAAGGCCAAATTGTGATGTAAAACAATTTGAAAAAGGTATGCTGTCCTAATTTAGAGGCACTCATCATAAACTGTAAACCTTTCTACTCGCCGCGGGAGTTTTCCTCTTTCATTCTCGTGAATGTGTACAGTGTTATATTACATCCCTTCTGTGTTATTCCTATGTATGTATGCACTATCATGTATGTCTGCACTATGTTTGTACTTTCTTCTACACTGGAAGCTCCTGTCGTCAAGTCAAATTCCTTGTGTGTGTAAACATACTTGGTAATAAAGCTCTTCTGATTCTGATTCTGATTCTAAAATACATTGTCTCTTTTAAGTTGTTTTGCACATACTGCACAATGCATTTGTGGAAATGTTTCCTTACTGCTAATTTGGAAAATCTTTAAATCTAGACAGTAAGTGTAATGTGGATATTCTGCATTTTTGCCTAAACAATCTTTTTATTTATTTCTTATAGCAACTCTCCACTGACACGCCACTGTTCATTCAGGGGCCACATCACTCCGTGTGTTCCTCTCCAGACCTCACGGCATCATGGGGGACGTAGTTCAGATGCACTTCAGCACAGTGGATTATGTGATTTTCGTCATGCTGCTAGTGGCCTCCGCCGGAATCGGCCTTTACTATGCCTTCTCAGGGGGTCGTCAGAGGACCACACAGGAGTTCCTGCTGGCCGACCGTAGCATGCGCTGCCTTCCGGTGTCCCTTTCACTGCTGGCCACCTTTCAATCAGCGGTGGCCATCCTGGGTGCCCCATCTGAGATTTACACACACGGCACGCAGTATTGGTTCCTGGGCTGCTCCTACTTCCTGGGCCTGCTCATCCCTGCACACGTTTTCATACCAGTTTTCTATCGGCTCCACCTTAGCAGCGCGTATCAGGTAGTACATTAGAAATTCACTTTGTTTGTTTGTTTGAGAGACTGGAGTATGTGTCACTTTTTGGGAATCAAGAGTCAGTTTCACAAAGTAGTAAGTGAATGATCCATTAGGGAATTTGTCTGAAATTTAAGGATTTTACAAAATCCTTATCTAGTAATCATTAAACAACTGGAAAGTTAATGGGAAAAAAACATGGATATTCATTGGTCAGAAGGGTGGGAACTTTGTAAATTGACCTGCAAGTGCAAAATTGAAGCATTCTCACAACAAGTGGTCTTAGACTTTTGGAGCCCACTTTAACATTATAAGGATAATGGACAGTCAGTTAGTATAGCAAAATAAATCCCAACATTATGCAAAAAATATTTGATAGCAGAATTCTAACCCGTCAAAATCAAGCATTCCAGAAATCCAAATATACTATTTTATTACAGTAAATAAGATACTGTTCAAAAGTTTGGGGAATGTTTTTAGAAAGTATTTATTATTACATTTGTTCAATTTAATGCATGCTTGATGAATCCATCTCAATCCATCTGACTGAAAATTATTATGTAATATTTGTAAATTGCAGTCCTCCGGCTGTACCAAAACACGCTCTATGGGATTTTACACTGTTTCTGTTTGTATTAAATTCTTGCCTTCTTTTTCTTCTTCATAGTATCTGGAACTTCGTTTTAGTAAAAGTGTTCGGATATGTGGCACTGTGACCTTCATCTTTCAGATGGTGAGTTGTGGTTACCACCTGGATGTGTGCAATAGGATATTAAAACCTTTAGGAGTATAATCTAATAATCTAAAGTAATATTGTCTTTTACTCCAGTTTTGTTAGGCACAAAGTTGTCAGTATAAAAACTTGAACTTTCACCGACAAACTTATTCTAACCCCCCACTGAGACGGACAATATTTTACTCAGCGTTGTGGGTCTAAAGTGTAATGATTCTCAGCACTATCAGTTACTAGACAGGGGGAAATTCAGAGAAACAAGTTATTATGTCCTAAAACAAGCATTACAACTGTTACATCTGTCAAATTATGTTTTTACGCAGGTGATCTATATGGGAGTTGTTCTGTATGCTCCAGCACTTGCACTTAATGCAGGTAATTGAGACTATTGAAGCATTACAAGACACGCATGTTGATGTAAATCAGATAAGTAGTTTATTTCATGTTTTTCCTCTTGTAAATGTTTGAATTTGTTTGTGATCACAGTAACAGGTTTTGACCTTTGGGGGGCAGTGCTGGCCATGGGATTGGTGTGCACACTTTACACAGCTTTGGTAGGCTGGAGATAAGCATCGGTTTATCATTTCATTGTTTACATGTGGTGTGGCATAAATGCATTTAGTTATTTTCTCTTTTACTTACTGTTGCTCAGCTACACAAGTATGGGGTCAGTAAGGTTTTTAAAAAGAAATGAACACTTTTAATCAGCAGGGTGGCATTCAAATAATCATAAGTAACAGAAAAGACATTTATAATGTTACAAAAGAATTACGTTTCAAGTAAATGTTGTTCTTTTGAACTTTCTATTCATCAAATAATACAAAAAACATGTATACTGGTTTACACAAAAATATTAAGCAGCACAACTGTTTTCAATGTTATAATAAATAGAAATGTTTCTTGAATGCCAATGAGAATGATTTCTGAAGGATCAAGAGAGGAATAAATAATTAAAAAATTCAGCTTGAACATCACAGGATTAAATTACATTTTAAAATATATTAATATAGAAAACAGCCATTCCTAATTGTAATAATATTTCACAATATTGCAGTTGTTACTGTTTTTGACCAAATGAATGTAGCCTTGGTGAGCATTTCTTTAAACAACATTAAAAAATCCCCAAACTTTTGAATGGTAGTGTACATTATAACACACCTGCTCCTCTCTTCTCTTCTTCTCCAGGGTGGTCTGAAAGCAGTGATCTGGACAGATGTGTTTCAGACAATTGTTATGTTTGCGGGGCAGCTGGCAGTGATTGTAGTTGGTACCCATCAGGCAGGTGGCATCGCTGAAGTTTGGAGGAAAGCACAAAACGGCAGCCGTATCTCAGGCCTTGAGTGAGTGGTGCGATTTAATATCATTTTGTTTCATATATGAGTATCTAAACTGTTCCTTTAAAGGGTTAGTTCACCCCAAAATGTAAATTCACCCTCATGTTGTTCCAAACCCGTAAGACCTTCGTTTATCTTCGGAACACAAATTAAGATATTTTTGATGAAATGTGAGAGCTCTCAGACCCTGCATAGACAGCAACGCAACTGAAATGTTCCCAGGTCCAGAAACGTAGTAAGGACATCGGTAAAACAGTCCATGTGACTTCAGTTTGGCAAAGCTACGAGAATACTTTTTGAGCGCAAAGAAAACAAAAATAACATAATTTATTTAACAATTCTTCTCCCCCGAGTTACGTCTTCTGCCATTTTGGAGAGTGCCCAAGAGTGTAATCAGCGTTGTTTATGTTCGGGGGAGAAAGCGCGCGCATGAACGTAATCTGCGTAATCAGCATTGTTTATGCTTAGGGGAAAGCATGCGTATGTGTTGTGATACTCTAAAATGGCGGAAGACGTAACTCGGGGGAGAAGAATTGTTAAATAAATTATGTTATTTTTGTTTTCTTTGCGCTCAAAAAGTATTCTCGTAGCTTCGCAAAACTGAAGTTGAGCCACTGATGTCACATGGACTGTTTTACCGATGTCCTTACTACGTTTCTGGACCTGGGAACATTTCAGTTGCGTTGCTGTCTATGCAGGGTCTGAGAGCTCTCACATTTCATCAAAAATATCTTAATTTGTGTTCCGAAGATAAACGAAGGTCTTACGGGTTTGGAACAACTTGAGGGTGAGTAATTAATGACAGAATTTTCATTTTTCGGTGAACTATCCCTTTAAGATTATCTAACAAACACTGTTCCACATACCAGAACTGTAACTGAAGCTAACATTCTTTGTTTTGTGGTCCCCATGGCAGCCTGAACCCTGACCCTTTAGAGAGGCACACGTTCTGGACTCTGGGAGTTGGGGGAATTTTTCTCATGCTGGCCCTGTATGGAGTGAATCAGGCTCAGGTCCAGAGATACCTCAGCTCCCGCACAGAGAAAGAGGCCATCATGTAAGAAAACACCCAGCTCTTCCACACTCTGGTTAAGTCAATAGAATCTGAAAGTGTGAAGTTGTTTTATGCACCGTTTGTGCTGTTTCTGCTGTGTTGTGTTGTGTGCCAGTACATTTTGAAGTGTTTTTTGGGGTGTCTTGTTCTTCAGGTCCTGTTATGCGGTGTTCCCATGCCAGCAGATTGTGCTCACGTTGGGCTGTTTAATGGGTCTGGTTATATATGCTCGATATGGAGAGGACAGCCCGCTGGATAAGGGCTATGTCAAAAGCAATGACCAGGTCAGACACAAAATATATATACTACCATTCAAATGTTTGGGGACTGTATGATTTTTTTTTTTTTATGGAAATGAATACTTTTCAGCAAGGATGTATTAAATTGATCAAAAAATGACAGATAAGACATTTAGAATGTCTCAAAAGATTCAAATGATTTTGAATAAATACAAATAAAAACTTTCTATTCATCTATTCTATTTTCTGTGGGTATTGAACAAAATGTATTATGGTTTCCACAAAAAATATTAAGCAGTACAGTTGTTTTTAACATTGATAATAAGAAATGTTTCTTGAGCAACAAATCAGCATATTAGAATGATTTCTGAGGATCATGTGACACTGGAGTAATGACTGCTGAAAATTCAGCTTTGGAATAAACAGCATTTCAAATATATTAAAATTGTAATAATATCATTCACTTCTGTATCCTTCTTGTTATCCTAACACTTCTTGTTGTTCTTTGATATCAAGATCATCACACCATTTGACAGTTATTATGGGAAAATCACTCTCCACCTCTCTCTCCATCTGCAGATGGTGCTGTACTTTGTAATGGATGTGTTGAGAGATCTTCCTGGTTTACCAGGACTGTTTGTCGCCTGTCTGTTTAGCGGAGCTCTCAGGTATCAACCAGATTTTGTGAGGACATTTCCTCCTATTATAATTTTCAATGTTGATATTGATCTTTAAGCTTATCTTACAGCACAATCTCATCTGCCTTCAACTCCCTGGCAACGGTTACCATGGAAGATCTGATCAAACCTCACGTACGACCCATGACGGAGGCCCGTGCCACCCTGTTATCAAAAATGTTGGGTAAGCTATTTTACAATAACTGTCTGAAAGGCTGAGCTTATTATTTCACTCATTATTTTTCTATGAGTGATCCATCTCTTCCTCATAGAATGAGTCTAGTACAAGATATTGTCCATACTAAGCTGAAAGGCAATCCTGGGATGGTGGGGTCATTTTTTTTGTCATTAAATTCCCCCACAGCTCTTGCCTATGGTCTTGTGTGTCTGGCTATGGCATACATCGCCTCTTTAATGGGCTCTGTGCTGCAGGTGAGGTCCATGATATAATAATATAAGAAATGCAGATAAATTTTAAGTGTAATTTAGTGTAATGCATTCATAAAGTTAACAATAATCTATATATCTCTGTTTTTTCCCAATCTCTTTAACATCCTTAGGCAGCACTCAGTATATTTGGGATGGTGGGTGGACCTCTTCTTGGCCTTTTCTGTCTCGGGATGTTTTTCCCTTGGGCCAATTCCACTGTAAGTCAAACAAGCAAAGCATCCACATATATACAAAACTGTTCAAAAGATTGGGGTTGGTAAGATTTTTTAGTTTCATGAGTCTCTCATGCTCACCAAAGCGGCAGTTATTTGATAAAAAATACAGTAAAAAATAGTAATATCCTGAAATATCATTACAACTTTTCTATGAAGTTTTCTATTTGAATAGATTTAAAAATGTAATTTATTTCTGTGATGCAAAGCTGAATTTTCTGCATCATTACTCCAGTCTTCAGTGTCACATGATCCTTCAAAAATCATTCTAATATGTGATTTTGTTGCTCAAACATTTCTTATTATTGTCACTGTTGAAAACAGTTGTGCTGCTTGAGGAAATTTTGGAGACCGTGATACATTTGTTTCTCTAGGATTTTTTAATGAATAAAAAAAAAGTTGAAAAAAGCGTTTATTTGAAATATATATGTTTTTATAACAATGTAGAAGTCTTCGATTTTGATCATTTTAATTCATTCTTGCTTATTAAAAGGACTATTATTATTATTATTATTTAAATCTTACTGACTGAGTGTGTTTTCAGGGTGCTCTGGTTGGGCTGGTATCAGGGCTGGTCATGGCTTTCTGGATCGGTATCGGCAGCTTTGTTTCACGAATGTCTGCATCTGTACCACCTGTGATAAATGCCACTGTCATACCTGATGTGGGAAACATGACAACAGCTGTGATGACGACACTCATCACACCTAAAACAAGGTCCATATTTTTAATAAAGTAATGGTGCTCAAGACATTCCTGTTCTAAAATGCTTGATTCCATCAGACGAATCAGAAAGCAATTATTTTAAATAACTGCTTAGACTAATCTTAGTTAAATTACAGACTGAATTGGCACATTTATTTTATCTTCTTGTCTTCTCAGGCCTTCTGGAGTTCAGGCTTTGTACTCTCTATCATACATGTGGTACAGTGCTCATAATTCTGCCACAGTTGTTGTGGTGGGACTACTGGTCAGCTTTCTCACGGGTAAAGTGTGTTTCCAAAACACATCAAACACTCTAATCGTCTTACCGTATCCTAGGTTCTATCAGTGAGTCTTTAAAGCAGTTTAAAGTTTTGTTTTGCTGCTGATAAAGCTACCTTTGTGAATATGTTGCATGTTGTCTAAACTGTGAAATGTTAAAGATAAGGTTAGAATTCATTGGCCTAGTAAAATGACACAAAGAATTTATGGAAGTGTTTTCAAATTGAAGTCCGCAAGGTGGTGCTAGTGGGTTTGCAAAAATTTCAGAGAAAAGGAAAAACAAAATGTAATTTGAAATAATAAAACGAATATGCATAGAGTTATGTGGAAAAAGTGCTCTACAAATACATTTAAATTGAGCTTAAATTGATACTTTTTATATTACAGTTTTGAGTAGATACACTTTTACACTAATACAAAGTAAATATATTCAAGATAATATTTAAATGTATTTTTGCTTTAGTACAATTACATATAAAAGTTAATCATTTAATTTTGAAAACACGTTATAAGAATATGTATTACGGTATTTAGAATTTGTATTATTTATATACAATTTTTTTTACGTCATTTTTTAAATATTTCTATGTAGCTTCAATTTTTATTTGTTTTATTTTAGTTTCAATTTTAGTACATCATGGCAACATCTCAAATTTTTAACATTTTATCTAATAAGTATATTTGAAGGTTTTTATAAAATAGATTTTTAATAGATTTAGTTGTAGTTACCAATAACAACATTGATCATTAGGCTGCAACAACAACATTTTTGTGCTTTGTGTTCACTCAGGGCCCTGGAAAGAGAAAGAGTTAAACCCAGGTACGATTTACCCTGTGCTTGGCAATTTGCTGTTCTTTCTGCCCCAACGCTACAGGGAGAAACTCTGCTGTGTTACTCCACTGGAGGACAATGTAAGTCACTTAAATGCTACGAATCAATATCCAGTTTCAAATACAGCATTCCTTCTTCCATTATGAATGCTTATGTATGTATGTGCCTATGCTATAGTCCAAAGGCCTGGACCGTCAGCCTTACCAGATGGCCCAGAAAGAGAGCATTGGCGTTGCCTATACTAAAGAGGAAGAAAAGCTCAGGGAAGAGGAAGGAGAAAAGATAACCGCCCAGCCTACTTGTAACCTGGCCCATACAGTGCAGGAAACAGCCTTGTGAAATCTCCCACACAGCGATAGTCCTAAAGGGTCTTAGTTTCCCACAGGCTCTGGGAAGAACAAAAATATTGTCCACATAAGTTGTGGGTTGTGTTGTGGGCCCTTTACAATATTGGTACGTTGTGCCCTCAACTGCCAGTGATTGAGGTGAGGGGTTGTCTTATTTATATGTGGTACTTTATGATGTTTCGATCTTGAACAAATTGAGATGTGTTGAGCTGAAGCGACACAAGTGATCACCTAAATCTTTCAGTTTATGTGTCATGCCTAAATTGAATCTCAAGAATACTTGTTGAATATTGCTGGTTCGTGATATACGTACACGCACAAATCAAAGAAATCATGCTGAACGTCAGGTTTAAGATGAATGGTTTATCACCAGAAAGACCACAGTTTGCACAAATCTGTAGTCATTTAATGTCGGTGCCGTTCGAGTTTTGGGGTTTTTCGCTTCCAAAGTTCACTACATTAGCCTTTCCATTCTGTTTGCCTTGAAAGCACTATTGTCAATGTGTTTGTTCCCTAAACTGAGTTAAAAGTTTACAGTGAATGAAGAATTGCTAATATTGCAAATTTAAATGTGGTCAACTTTTAGCTTGACGTTCATGAAAAGACCATCTGCAAGTCTCATATTGTGATAGATACAATGAATCTAATGCATGTTGAATCTAGTTCCCTCATTGAAGCCCATTGTTTGTGACAAGTGCCTCCTCATATGAATGTATGACGTAGTTTTGTGACTGGATTGTTGCATTAGTTTGCCGTTTCATCATCTCATCCAAATGGAGCAAGGGCCTGACCCTGATAGGACCATTTTTTCTGGACACCTCACTATTGAATTCCCATGATGCTTTGCGTTGTGAGGGCCTGGCTAACTATACTTTAGCATCTCAAAAAAGGAAGTTTCAGATTTGCCTAGATTTAATATTATTTTTGGTATGGATGATTTTTTTTAGAAAACGGTCTTCTGATGTAGACAAGCTCTTTAAATGTTATAATAGCCTATTCAAATGTTTGATCTTAGATGCACTGAAAAAAATTTTTCATTCATCCAATTAAAACAAATTTAGGGTAATGATTCACATCTATATTTTTTAACTTGAGCCAATGAAAAATAAATAACTTGTTACTTGCTACCAAAAGAAACAAAATCTTTGGGAGAACAATCTTTAAAACAATCTTAAATTGTTTTAATTGGATGAATGAAACATTTTTTTCAGTGTATAGAAGATACTTGTTATAGTATCAAGACTAACTGCATAGAATTGAAACCTCAGTTACTGACCATAATTCTCAGTATTAGCATATGGATCGATTTGGTTGCACTCGTTTTCTTGTCATTTGATTCGTTTTTTGATGTTATAGTGGCATTTTCTGTGTTTTGCTGTCTAGCCTAACTTCAGACCTCAGTCTAAGCCATACCATTTGCAGTTGCTGTAGGATTCCTAGGTTCTTGTATTGTGCCTATGACTGGAATGAAAGCTTTCTCTGAACCTGTCACAATCTCACAAGCACAGGCAGTCGGTTATATATTCAAGTTATGCGCTCTGGGTCAACAGTTTGTGGAAGTCTCATGAAGTCTCAACTGGTGTTTCTTTTTTCTTTTTTTGGTTCTTTATTGTGGGTGTATCATCTTGGTCTGGCGACACGTTTCAGTTTAACATTCATCTCCAAAGAATCATCCTATGTGTAATCATGTTCATCACATGTGGAAACATAAGAAGTTGGTTCACATAGAATGCGTTTTTGCATTCCAATGTGGTGTGTTTTTAAAATTATTTTCCAAAGTAAACACACCGTTGCGTCCGTAACTCACTGCTTTTTCAGCATCGCACTCACAAGCGATGCGTTTTTACACTTTTACAATTAGTTAAAATTAGTGTTAAAATAAAAGCATTAAAATAAAACATGAAAATTAGTGGTGTCAAACGATTAATCGCGATTAATCGCATCCAAAATAAAAGTTTTTGTTCACATAATATATGTGTGTGTACTGTGTATATTTATTATGTATATATAAATACAAACACATGCATGTATATATTTAAGAAAAAGATGTAATGTTTATATATTAAATATATTTATATATAAATTATATGAATATAAATATACATGTAAATATTTTCAAAATATGTACTGTATGTGTGTGCTTTTATATATACATAATAAATATACACGGTATGCACACATATTATGTAAACAAAAACTTTTATTTTGGATGCGATTAATCGTTTGACAGCACTAGTTAAAATAAAAGCGTTAAAATAAAGCGGCTTGAGACCCTGCGTTTTTCCCATTTTGGAGCACTCGCTTTTTTAAGCGCAAGAAATACTGACATCTTTTTTCGCTGTGCCACTTCTCACTTGTTCACTTCTCATTCAGATCGATTCCGTATTGCACTGTCTTAGCTACTTTTTGTCCATCTGCACTGTTTTACATGCAGCTTTTTTTTAGCATCTTACGCAATGAACACCATATTTTTAGGACGCTACTTCATGTTAAACAATCTTTTTAAATGGATCTTGATGCGCCTTCAATTCCATTGAAGTTGTTTGTTGCATTTTGAACGCAAGTACACATCCTGTATAAATGGCCCCAAGGGTTTTACCTTTAGTTGAGTGATGACTACTCTACATTTCTTTTGAGCTCCAGAAATATATTCACAGCAATGAATTATGACTAATTTTTAGCCTAACGGTATTAGATGCAAAATTAAACATTTGTCAGTTTGGGGATATTACTTGCTAGCAAGCATCTGCTATGGAATAGATATGAATTTAATGTTCAGTCATTCTTTAACACGCAATGACACTTTTTTTATAATCCATCCAGTTCAATGTATTAGAATAATGATGACATTCTGGTGTGAAAATTAGAAATTAGTTTGGATTTTAGTAACTTGAGCATTCCAATCAATACAATACAGATCATCTCTTTATTGTAAAATGTAAACATAGCTTGATTTCTCATAAGTTTGGTCATTATATTAATTGTGTAGAAGACGTTTTGTTTTGCATTATTAGTGTCATAATGTATGTATGTGCAAGACTGGATCATGTAGAGTTGCCATCTGTCATACCTGAAATTACTTGAATTATGTGTGCACAATGCTTTAAAACACCCATACTTTTAATAGTATAGAACACTTGCATTTACAGACTGAATAGAATTGCAAAAACGCTGAACTCTACTGTGAGAATTGTTTTTTTAATGACATTTTTAAATACTCATTTTCTACAGAAAGCGCAACTCTCATTAGTGCAAAATAAATATTTCGATACATAATGTTTATATAAATATTATGAGAATATTTATTTTTTTAAATAGAAGTGTTCCTATTTTATTTTCCCAAATATGCATTCCAGAAAACCATAAGCAATGGAGTCTGACCAGCTTCATTGCTTTGGTCGTGCCTTCACTTAGCGTCTCTTTATTTGATTGGTCGTGAAAGTTCTCGCCAAGAACTTTCCATTATGTGAAAAAGAGCAAGTTGCATTGGCCAGCAGAGCATCTATAGCTAAGATACCTTTATTTATGTAGATGAATGCAGAATAGAGGAACAGATATACTTAACCAACTCTAGTGGGCATTGAATCATGAACACTCATTTTTTCCTCTTGATTAATTGTTTGTAATGAGAAAGTGATATAAAATTTGTCTTGATAACAATAAAAATGTCTTCCCGACAGTCTTTTGTGATTTCTGTCTTTACTACGTATTGCTATCATTCAATAACTGCAATTAAAATAGTGCTTCAATAAAGCATTGACTATCATTTCACACAGTTCAACATCAGCATTAAATTGATTCCTGTGGTCCCATTCGGAAAACTGTCGGAACACTTCGGCATCTCCACAAATAATCACTGTAAGTAAGCTCCTGTCATTATAATTATTTAAACTGCAATAAAATTAAGGCACATGATACAAATAAAATTGTGTTAATACATTTCTAGGATTAAGCAGTGCCATTACATAAAATGAATGTAATGCATTTTTTTTAATAACAGTAATGACACAGTAATGATAAGGATTAGTCATTTGTTGTGGTCCAGGGGTTGTTTTTTACTTCATGGTCATCTCTGTTTAGATGCATTTATCTATGCATCTAAATAGTGGGGACCATTAGTCCCATGAATATGAATAAAAGGACATAGAACTGTTTATTTCTTCTTTCTCTTTTCCACAATCTTGACAAAGTTCTGAACATCCTCTGCCAATAACTGTGGCTCCTCCATAGCAGCAAAATGGCCCCCGCGAGCCATGGGAGTGTAAGTCTTGAGCTTATGGTATTTCTGGGTCACCCACAATTTAGGGGAATGCATCACCTCATTAGGGAAAGAGGCCACACCGGTCGGAACGTAAACTGGAAGCCTATTGGGAAAAGAGAGACATGGCATACTAATTTAGTGATTTTTGGATTGACATTTGTGGTCAGTAAGATTTTATTTTATTTTTACTTCAGAAGTTAATGCATTAAATTTACATTTAGTCATTTAGCAGACGCTTTTATCCAAAGCGACTTACAAATGAGGACAATAAAAGCAGTCAAAACTAACAAAACAGCAACAATATATAAGTGCAAATGACAAGTCTCGGTTAGCCTAACACAGTACACGTAGCAAGGTGTATTTATATACACACACACACACACACAAAGAAAAACAAGTAGATATAGAATAGAAAAAATAGAAAACTAGTGTTTGTTTGTTTTTCTGCTGTTTAAAAAAAAAGAAAAAACAGAAGATAAATATAGATAAAGTAGAATTAAAATAGAATAGAAAGTGCTAGAGTTAAGAGGGTCAAATAGATCAAAAGTGATAGTAAAGACTAACAAAAAGTCTATTTCAAATAAACACTGTTCTTATTCTTCAAATAATGTACCAAGGGTTCCACAAAAATATCAAGCATCTTAAATGTTTTCAACATTGATAACAATAAAAAAAAAATTATGACATTTTTATATATATTCAAACAGAAAACTGTAATAAATTGTAATATTTTACAATATTAGTGTTTCAACTTTATTTTTAATATACAGTACAGACACTTCTTTCAAAAACACATCAAAAAATGTTGCCGACCTCAGACAGTAGTGTTCATATTTACACATTGCCCAAATTTCTGTGCCAAATTTCAAATACTTTTGGGAACACAATATTGATGAGTACTGAACAGAAAATACAGCTTCATGTAATGTTAATCAAAGTCTGTAGTTCTCTTACTTTGCATGGGGCTGGTTCAGGCCTTTGCCGAAGTTCTCCTTGTAGAAACGCATGGAGGATATAATGCACCTAGAGGTCCAGTAGATCATCACATTTGTCAGGAGATCATCAAGAGAATACTTCCTGTTGGGGAATTGACAGATTATTTAACTGAACACACATTTCACCAACCTATAATAAAGCTGAACTCAAATATGACTACCTCTCCAGCCCACCATCCTCAAGGTTCTTAAACTCAGGGTCAGTCCAGGTCGAAAATTTCTCCAAAATGTAGGCAGCCAAACCAACGGGAGAGTCATTCAATCCACGGCCTGTGCAATAGTCAAGCTTCAAATCAAAGTCTGTTGTTCAATAACACCAAATGTAGAATCCAATGGACCAGTGTCACAACAGATTCATATGTGAAGTCTATTTAAAGCTGCACATTCTAAATATTTCAATATGTCTGTCACCTGCAGTGTCAGGTTTAGTGGACTGTATGTGCATGTATCCGGTCTCCCTTAATGCGTCTACTACAAGCTTTTCCATAGTGGGGAAAAGGCGTTTCACATCATGCTCGGTGAAGCCAAAGAGTTTGGGGAATCGGCGACCAAAAAGTATAGACAACATCATGAGAAGGCCTGCTTGTCCAGAGGGAGCAAAGTTAATGTGGAGGCCTTTCACAGCACTGAGGACAACAAAGATGAACAACAAAAATCAATTCTTGAAATCTTTCAAGTACTTGAAATGTTTATTTCTATACACATTATCTTCTTGTAATATATCTGACTAATTTACTGCATTCTAATTGAGGATTTCAATAT